ATAAATAAAGCTCTCCCGCAATATCCAGATGAGTCATGGAGGCTACAAAATTTCGAGACTAACTGATCACCAGTTGCCATCCATCGATCTGAAACTGAGAACAAATGACAGCTATTTTGTCATTTTACTACCACTTCACAACTACGTGAATGTTACAATTTATTTTTAGATAAGCACCGGGCTATTTCCTTGGAGACCTGATTTGATTGATTAAAGTTTGTTCGCGAACAGAATTTTTTAAAACAGAAAATATCGGCTATTTGAAATTGTGTGATTAATTTTTTTCGTTTCTTTTTCTTAGAAAAATGTTGTAACACTAGTGACAAAAGTTGTTATTATTCAACTTCGTTATTAGCAATTAAATAGTATTCTCTGTTACGAAAGTTTTCGACAATTTGCTAAAAATATTTGTCATTGCTTTTATTATTATTTCTGGAGTTACACTAATAATTTATGATAAAAAATTGAAATACCATATGAGCTTTGAGTAAACACTAAGTGTCAGGAGAAAAGCTTTTCAAATGCGTTCGTGAATGTAAATCATCTGAGTGAAGAATTTTTATGATAGCAATGTGTCACGGTGAATGAAGTGTAGACGATCTTATGTGGTAATTACCCTGGTAACTTTCCATATTTTTAGATTTATTTCATTTTCATTGAAATCAATTACTGTCTATCTTGGCTGGAAGAATAAAGAAGAGGATGACAATCCCTCTGAATTTATTCATTAGGTGCCGATATTTTGGGAATCTTTTTTCGAAAAGAATGGTAACTATATTGATGCATTTATTTAAAAAATTACGTGTTTTATGTCCACCTTTTTATATAATTATTATAAATATTTTTATACCTTTCTAAAATCATTCTATCAATTTGCCTTAGAGCTGCTCCATTCTTTTTAAAAATCCAAAACAGGCTGTTCAGCAGTGAATGGGTTAAATTAAAATTGTTATAGGTTAAATTAAGCCCAGAATAGTGAAGCTTATTATAAATAACCTCACTAAGGTTTTTATAGCAATAACCCTTTAAGCAAATTCAGTCTGATTGAGTAATTCTTCGCACATTTCATAATTAGCCTAAAGATATAACGATTTCTCAACTAGCCTAATGATAGTGCCTGATTGTAATTAGCCAAAAAATATCTGGCAGATTATAAAATACTGTAGACTTCTCCAATTAGCCTAGTGCATTGCAAAATGCCATTTACAAAGAGCCGGATTTTTTATTCGGCATAAATATATGTATAATTTAAAATATAGCTTTCATTTGTTTTATTTTAATTGAAAAATATTTTTTCTTAAAAATTTTATCAATATATTTATTAAAAAAAAACACATTTTTTTTATTTTTGCTATTTTTCTCGTCATTGAGGTGCTTTTCTTTACTAAAGTTTGTTAAAAGCGACATTTTTCTATAAATCTTTCTTCGCTCAACACATGCACTTGTCGAAAGAGTTTTTATTTTTATATGAATTATTCAGCTTGAAAACCTCAAAAATACATGTGAACTATTTAAATCTTTAATATCTAAGGGAGTTGCTTCCTTTGCTTTCAAATCTGGTTGAAGTATACCTGAAGAAGGCGGCGACACAGAAGCTGCTTTTGTGTCCTTTTTTCAACATCCCCCTCATAACGGAAGAAAGAAACCAGGTGCATCAACATATAACAGGTTTGTATATGCTCGTCAAGTGCATGAATTCTCGTCATAAGTGTTATACAAATCTATGGTTGGTTACCGATGGACACGACTATTTGTTAGGGGGACAAAATGGTGAAATAAGATGAGTTGAGTATAAATTATTTTCATCAATTTTGAACTAAAAATCGTCAAAATTTATGTATAGCAAATCAAGTATTTATTAAACTCTAAAATACATTTGACTGAGCTTTCAGCTATAAAAAAAAAAAATTGGCACCGATACTAATTGTTACATTTGTATGATACAATGTTGTATGATACTATTGATTTTGGTTAAGTTCTTACTAAATACCAATTATTTTACTAACGCAATAGGAAGATGTTTTGAAGTAGTTAAAATCTTTTCAACCATTTAATCCCACGTTCAATCAGTTTAATTTGCTAGATTTAGAAGGTGAGAAATAAAAAGAAGGATTGCGAAGAAGTGAAAATGACGCACTCCTATCTTTCTTCCTTACGCAGTTATTAGCCAAGGTCTTATATGTCAAGTAGGTTTAGTCACTAAATAGTTTCAGAAAAGATTTTCTTCGAAAACAGTGACTAATTCTGAATAAAATAAAGCTTTTACTTAAAGGTTTCATCGCGTGTATCATAAAAAGTGTTTTCGATAAAAAAAAAATCACATAATTACCAAAAACATATTTGCCAAAACTATTTAGATCTTTTGATTTTTCTAAATCATAAATAAAAATAAATTCTTGTTTTCAAATGCAAAAAGGCTAAGTTCAGAATGAAAAAAGTTGTATGAAATGTATTTTAATCAAAAGAAATCTGTATGAATTTTCACCCCAATTTTTGGTTAGATTATTATGTAGATTTCAAACGACTTCATTTTTGAAATAAAACGTAAGAATTTTTTCGGGAAATTTAAATACTTTTCAATTCGATTAAAATTACTTATTTTTAAAGTATGGGACCATTAAAACAACTTTTTATCACCGGGAAATTTTTATCTTTCTCGTCATCGAATTTTCGTGATATACTCTATAAAATAAGGTTCTCTGTTGACAAGTACCCTTATGTGTGCATACTTAACTTTTAAATGTTGTTTCCGAAACAAATTATTGCATAATTTTTTTTCATACCTTAGACGTTTTTGTAAGGCAATTAGAAGCTAAAAAAAATCGCAGTAGAAAAATAAATAGTTGCAAGTTAACGATAATTTTTAATGAATTGTTTCTGCTTTTAGTTAACTTTTTCAATCTCAAGTAATGATATCAAAGCCAAGTGATACATTTTTTGTTACAATTTTTCTTTTTTTTTTCGCCTGAAGCTTTATTTAAAGTAAAGAAATTTTGTTTAATTTTTTCGTTTGTAAAATGAATACACATTAATGCTTTATTTAAATAGATGAGATAATTTCTGTTTTGAGGATGAACAAAAGTTTGCTTGTAATTTAATACTTGGGTGAAAACTTTTGTTTCTTGCAAAAAAATTTTATATAGTCCTATTTTTATTTGATTTTCATTATCCCATTTTAATTTTTTTTCTGCTTCTAACATCAGTAGTTGTAAGCTAAATACGTATATTAGCAGTAAAACTAGTAATTTTACAGTAGTAGGGTAAATCGTTTGCTATGAAACACTAACATATTTGTTGCGGAATCTCAAAAATAACTTTATATCTTTATCAGTTAAGGTGAATTTCTATTGAAAATAAATGTAGATTCAGTCAATATAATGACTTCCATCGCAGAAGTAAAAAACAGACGCAAGGTCTATTCAGTGTAAAAATTGAACAAAAATACAACCAGGGCTTGTTAATACGCATCTAGACGCTTATTTCAAGCATCACATTTTATCCAATTTTTTTTTTCTGGGAGTGAAAAAACTCATTTTCTTTCAAATGTTCCTTGAATACAAATTCAGTCAATGAGTGATTCCTATAACACTGCAAATAACTGAAAGCTATTTTTATATTTTCAGATTGTTTCGTAACATGGCTGTTAATTTTGCTCGCTTGATTGGTCCGATAATGCTTAAATATTCAAGCCGTAATACATATCGTGTTATTAAATAGATCTATGTTTTAACATTCACTCCTCCAAAATTACTCTCTTTTATTTCGATTGTAATTTATTATTAAATAATGGACATTGCCTTCCTTTAATTTTCATCAAATAAATTTTGATAATAAACGGAAGTAAATTCTTAATCGGCCCACAACTATTCTCGGAATTTCTCAACAATTCCTTTAACAAAGAAAGATAAAAAAACGACTCTAAACTTACCTATTGCAAGTGGATATGTTACTGGCAACCTGTAGCAAGTTAGCTATTATATCAGCTATTTTGTGTACTTTTATATACCAATCTCCTTTCTACAAAGACTGCACCAAGAAAAGTGCGGGGAGGATAAATGGCGTAAAGTACATTGTATTTTTATTTAAACATTTGACTATCTTTTAGAAATGTCACTCTTCAACAATAATAAAAATACCTTCCTTTGTTGTTGGTAATTGATTACAATGCAAAAAATACAATAACGTTATTTTAATAAAAAAAATAATTCTGTTTAGATTTTAGCTAAGTTAAAGTTATTTATTTTATTCTTGGAATTAATAGCTGTAACCACGAAAGGTTTTTTATTACTTGTATTTTATTCTTTTCACATATAATTGCAAATATAATGTTTGTATCACGAAAAACGTATTTTTTCTTCGAAATTCAAAAATTTCAAATTGATAAACTGTGCTCAAATGTTACCAAAAAACATTTCAGTCAAGTAGAAAAATATTTATATCGCAAGAAATGAGTCTAATATTTCATTTTTTTTTCTATTCAAAAAGGAAAATTAATTTAAAAAAATAGCATAAATGGAAGAAAAAAATTAGTCTTTAAGCTCAAAAATGCAAATTTTATAATGTTAAATAACCCTAAAAATAAATTATTTTCGAATTGGAAATGTAGGATCTTCTGAAACCTGCATGAAAACTTTTTTTTTCATTAACAAATACGCATTATTTGAATTTCCCCTTTAAGTTTAGGTTAGGTTACCAATTAAATTCAGGTCCGGGTTAGGTAAAGGATTTTTTGTTGATATCAGGAGACCTAAGTAATGCAACTCATAAATAATTTTTGACAGTTACTTTTCATTTTTGAATTTTAAACTTAAAATGTTTATTATATTTAAGTTAATATTCTGTTTCCCTCCAAAATACATAAAATTTTAGGTCCATTTCATTAGAAATAGAAAAAATTTCGGTAAATATGTAAGCAGATATTGATTTGAAATTTAAAAATAAAATTATATTTTCATGATTTTACTCTCTTCGGAAACAGTCAGATTTTAAAACAAGTAAAATATCCTTAGATACTCCTTTATTTTTAGAATCCTTATCAAAAAGTAATACAAAAGATATACATGTTTTGATAACGTTTTAGTTTTTTTAATGCTTAAATATTATTTTACATCCCAGCATGCTTTTCCTTTTTGTGAAGGATTCTTAAAATGCACGTTATGGATGGTAAATGCGGAATACCCAGAATTTCTCATTACAGTTAAAACTATATACATAATATCTTGAATGAAATTTAAAATATCATTTATGCCCACCAAAGAAGATTCACAGTTTTACAAACCATTTACAAAAAACACTAACTTTAAAACTTTGTTTCTGCTACCGGGTATTGCGAAGAAGATTGTATGAAAATTATTTTCTGAACTTAAATATTTCTCGAGAACTTGTTTTTTTTTCTTTTTTTGTGCAATGATTAAAGATCCTAAGGGATATAAGTGACATTTTAAGGGATTAATCAGGGAAATTAAGATAAAGTTGTTGCATAACTATGGATGTGTTTAATTTAACAGAATTTAACTACATTTATTATAATTTAACTACATCGCATTCTTATTAATTTTGAGTATGCTTGCATGATTTTCATTTTGAATTTGGTAAATAAAATAAGGCAAAGAATTAACTCATCTAAATTTATAATGAAATTATTTGGATACCACTTTATTTTTCTTAACCTGATTATAGCTACTCATCCAATAAGCTCTTCAACTTTTTAAATTAAATAATCCTCAAGTCATAAAGCCTTATAGGACCGGTAAAAAATAGGATTTTTAGAGAATCCAAATTTTAGTTGTAACATAAAATAGAGGAGCTTTAAAGTGCAGGAATTCATTCTAAGAAAAAACTGAATAAAACTGAAGCAATCTATGCATTATTATATCATACTGATCAAACTATAAATCGTCGATTTGGACATGAATTTAACAGACTGGACACTATGCGTATCCAAGAAAATGACCTTTACTATGTTCAACCTACCCAAAATAAACGAGAAAGCAATATCACTACTGACTTCGGGCTCATTATAAGCGTAACTTTTCAGCCATCTTTTCAGTTTCTAAGCGATTTTAAAATTCTAAATTCGTCAATGTATTATAAACGTATTGTAAAAAGGACTTAAATCTTTTCAGTTCTTTTACGAGGCTTTTATTATCTTTAAAAACAATGAAAATTTTAATTTAAAAATTTAAATTTTGGAAAACTGTAGGTACTAAGTAGAGTAGGCATCACATTGCGATTTTATTTAGATCAGTTAGTTTATTTTTTTAGAAAAGGGAAAGATTTCAATTCAAAAATGTGAAAAACAAAATTAAGTGCATTATCTTAAACACACATTTTGAATTGTGTCCATTTCCCTAAACACGCATTTTGAGCTATGTCCTGAATAAAAAGCTCGCTGACGACAGCTTTGACATCCTTTGAATTGTGTCACAAGACACTTTTTGATCAAAAGTTGACAAAAATCGCAGTAGAAGTAGTGTGATGTTGCACAGTTGGCTTCGAAAAATACAAAAGAAAGAATGATTCATTGTTCCATCGTTGATATAACTTTTCAATGCCGGATTATTCCAATATTTTTAGATTTGCGTCACAGTTATTTGGTTGGACTTCTTCAAAGAATTTGACGACCAATAACTTTTCTTCAATCTGAATGCTGGTTTTCGACTTTTCTTTGCCGCTAAAAAAAATAAGGAAGAATAAAAAAAAAAGAAAAATCTACATCTTTTATCAAAGCCCCTTATCTTTTTCTTGCGATGGTTTTTTTTTAACCTGTGCAAGCATTCTTTTGGCCCTCCCCCTCAATAGTACAATACTCAGGTGCCCCTTATTTTCAAAAACCTCCCTTATTCCTTACGGTGTCTTTTGAAAACGCCTCGACTATCAAGCAATCTGTTTGAAGGGGAAATCTTATGGGATCTTTCTTGTTATATTTTTTAAATATATCATCCCACTCCTTTCCACGCTTGGAAACACTTCACATAAAAGACTTTTTTTACACATTTCTGACATCAATTTAACAAAAAGAAAAAAAAATACTTGGAGGCACATACCTAGAGTAACACTCAGAGGTATTTAACCCTTCAATTTTCTTTTTGGTTCCATGGGACACTTTATCGTTACTCAAAATAAGATTTACGTTCAAAATTTCATTAATCGCAATTCCATCAACAAAAAATGAACTAAATACGGAAATTCAAATAAATGAATGGGATTCTTACTAAGTCACCCATAGCGTGATTCATATCGATCTACATTTCCTCAGATTTGCAAAAAATCGATCTAAAAACAGTTGAAAGAAAGAAATCCAATCTGTTTCTGAAGTTCCTCCCAATTCATTTAATAATTTCAATGATGTTCTAAAATACATTTAAAATTATGTTGAAGTATAATAGTTAACTTTCATGCTTTTACAATAAAATTTTAATGGTTATAAAAATTAATAGCCTTTAATTTACCACTGGCAAAACCTTTGAAGCCTAATGATTCTGCTATTAAAACTTCTGATTGCACATTTAACTGCAAATGATTTCTGAGAGAAGTTAATCTGTTTTTGAAATGCAATTATGTGCAATTAAAACGTCTGAATGTACTTTTAACTGCAAATGATTTCTAAGAGAAGTTTACCTGTCTTGGTAACACAATGATCTGCAAATGGTTTCGAATGGAAGTTAACCTATTTTTGAAACATAATGAACAGAAAAAATTTGAACATTTTTATTGCATTTTTACTGCAAATGGTTACATTATAAAAAAGATGTTAAATTACAGTAAAAATGAAATCAGTTTATCCAATAGAGTTTGAAGGCTATCCTGGAAAATGCAAAGTATTGCTCCAGTTTTATTTAAAATAATTGTTTATAATAAGTCTGAAATCAGGCTCAGTTTATCAAAGCTATCATAATTACACAATAGCTGAAAAATTAGTACATATAGTATTTAGCAATTAGAAGTAAAATAGAAAGAGAAATAATTTTAAAATCAATAGAAATGTAACAAAAAAGCAATATTAATTATTCTATGAGAATTTAACTTTTACGAAAACATGGAATGTACAGAAAACGCCTCTCTTTAGTTTCAACTAAAGAACGCACTTTCATTTGTAATTTTCTCATATTACTTTTAAAGTGATTGATTTTTAATCTAAATTTATATTCATGATGAAGAATTGTGGTCCAGAATGAAGGTTTTTTTCAAAATTTTAAGTGGTTGATTTAAACTTCCTTACACAAAAACAATATTTGCGGTTCGTCGAAAAGAATTATGCAATCGACCGCTCCTATTAAAATGTGTTTCGAATTTTTTCCCACTTTATATTAATTGTAGAGTTAGTTCGTGTAAAAAAATATCTCTTATAGTGTTAAAATTAAAAATAATTTAAAAGAAGTAATGACAAAAAATCACGTGCCTTTTCAAATAAATTATGAGGGAAAAAACGAAAGTTATAATTTGTTTTTGTTCGATAACCCGAAAAAACACTATTCTGATTATTTTTTTCAGATTCATTAATTAAATGTAATGATGCGTGCCTAAATATTAAATGAATTTTAGAAAACAAAATAGAAAAGAATTTTTTTTAAAATTGTTTAAATAAATTTGAAATGCCCAAAAATGACTCAAAGAACTTTTTCTAAATATTATAAAAGTAGAAATAATCTAGTAAAACCAAACTGTCTAGAACAGTTCTGCTGTTATTTATTTGATGTTGTTATTTGTTTATAGTCTACAGTCTTTTGAAAGTGGAAAGAAAAGTCATATATTTGTATCATTTTTATAGGTCTCTTTATTATTGTATTAAAGGCAATAATAAAATATGTATTTTCACAGCACTGAAGGATTTTTTGCAGCTTCACTTCTTGGTGTAATTTCCAATATTTAGTTTAATCTAAGCCGGCCAGGTGGCCGAGCGGTAGGCACGCCTGACTGCGAAGCCAATGGCCGCGGGTTCGAATCCCGCTCTGGGCATGGATGTTTCTCTCTCTTGTGTTGTCCTCTGTTGTGTGTGATGAGTGAATGTGGCCCACCCTATCAACGAGTTTGTGGCAGTGTGGCGTGGGCAATGTTACTCGCCTCCGTGACTTTGGTTCACAGGTGCCCACTGGGTAAACGCGAATTGAGTAACAACTCTAGCATCTTCTAAGGCGAAACGAATAAAGTTCAGTGCCTGCCATTCGAAAAAAAAGAAGTTTTATCTACAATAGTAATTGACAGAAAAGTGATTAAACCTAGAGTAAGCATTAAGTTTCAAATGCTGAAAATATCAAAATGTAAACAAATCCTCATAACTTGTTTGGAGTTTGAAAACAGCCTGCCAAAGATTCCCGTGTAGTAAATGGTGACTGGTGCACGCTAAATCTGTCGGGTCACAAAGTCCTCCATGTTCGCCTAACAAATTATACCTCTGGTGGTACTGAATTGAAGATTGATCGTTCTCTGGTTCAGGTCAAAATTACTATCTGTGGATGAATGAATGGATATATAAATGGGTCCACCACGGGTGAGACATATAGGTATGGCAGAAGTTGACTTTTTGGACATAGATGACGCCACTGGAAAACAGGAACAATCCCACCCCTTACCCTAATGGCCTAGGACAAGGGCAGCGTAACTTGTTTGGATATTCAGCATTTGAAACTTAATGAATTCACTTTTCCTTGCTGTTTTTTTCATAGTGGGGGGGGGGACATATATTAGCCGCATCATTACCTGCATTTGAATGGTTTTTTGCATTAGGCTAATTTAAATATTTTCTTTATTTCAAAGAGACAAGTCATTTGAAGCATATTTTAGTCTAAAAGTATCCCATTTTAATTAATTTTAATTTTTCTTGATAATGAGCCAAGCAAAATTTCTGTACTAGGAGTTTTGGATACATTAATAGTATTTTAATTGATACCAAATTTTTCGAGTTGTACAGAGTGCAAAATAAAAAGCCTTGGATAACTTTTGATCTCATGATCGGACATACTCAATTTTAATAGTTCAAGGGTTAAATATTAACGTGTGCAGACGCAATAAATTTTCCAGGACACGAAATAAAAATTTTGAACGAAATCGGTCAAATAGTTTCTCAATTATCAAATGTTAAATAAATCGTAAATTTAAAATTTGATTTCTTAAGATTTCTTAAGATTCGATCGATTTCGTTCGAAGTTCGTGCATTTTGTCATTAATATTTATAATAAAGTACATTATCCATATATATTTCATACGGCTTATTTAAAAATATATTAGGAGCAATTTGATCAAAATCTAATTTATTCTTATTAGATGTACAAACATTATAAACTGTTTTAATGCATATAGTTTCTAATCAGCACTTCCTATTAACGAATTAAAACAGATTTAAATTATTTTTTCTGATGTTTGTAAACGTGCTAATTTTAGCCTTCACAGAATGAATGTCATTGAGACACCTATTTTTTGAACGTTTACTTAAAATTCTATGCTCGTGTAGTTTCAAAGAGAATAATTGCAAGTGGAGATCACCTGCTTGTATGGAAGCAATGCGGCATTTCGCCTTCTGGCACACATCAAACTGCTATGGAAATACTTTACGTAAAATAATGCTTAGAAACCAATACTCAACTAAATGAAAAATGGCTTTTAATATATCAGTTCTGTAGTTTAAAAGAGTTTGACAATAAGTTAAAGCTAAGCAACCTGATCATGTCCTTTAAATATAGTCATCCTAATAAAAATAATAATAAATAAAAGTAATTACGCCAAAAATAAGTAACTCTATTCAGCGCTTTTGAAAGCCTAGTAAAATAACAAACACAAAACAATGCAAGCAACAATTTTACCTTGGCCCCAGTTGTGTTCAAAATTGACTCGATATGGGTCTTATAAGAGCATGCACCGAGGCACCAATATAGGGATGCTTAGATATTTTAATATTGGTCCGAGAATGGCTTTCAATATTGGAACAAGTTTCACTTCTATCTAAGACTAATATTATGAAATATAGACATTCCAATATTGTAGATCTACAAGGGACATTTGAAGCCATTTTAGGATTCATATTAAAAAATCCAGGCATCCCAATATTCGCCCAACATTTTAAACCTATAAGAGACCTGGATAGAAATGAAATGAATCGTGAGGTCCATTATTGAAGCCAATATAGAACCAATATGAAAAAAAGCTAGACATTCCAATATTTACCCAACATTATAAGTCTATAACGGTCTTACATAGAAAATAATATTGGTCCATTATTGAAAGCCGTGCTCGGAGAAATATTGCAAAAAATTAGGAAATTGCTTAAATATAAAGCATATAATTAATTCATAAATATATATATTATATATATTATATATAATAGATTACATTAGTGTTAAATGGTTCTAAAAGCATAATTTACTTACTTACTACTAATACTTAGTAAAAATTGCATGATAGATTTTCTCATTATTTCCATCCAACTAGATCTGCAGTTTGGCGGGAGTAGTTCTTAGAATTCAGCCTTTGGGAGAAATGAGGTACCAAAACTATTTCATATTAGTAATATAATAAACTTTGTTATAAGTAAAATATTTGATTACATTGTATACTATAAAAACACATCAAGATTATGATAGAAAATTAAAAGTTCAGTTGAAATGTTCGACAATGTTTTTCTAAAGCTTCTACTTGGCGTGATAATTCACGTAAAGAAACAAAGACACACGTATTTTGTGAGAAGTTGTTCAATGCAAAGTTTTAGTTGAAGATAAAAGATTGATGATTGGAGCGTGGCGACTCGTAATAAAATTAAAATTAAAATAGAAACAAACAATGAAGTAATCACAATTTACCCCACAGTTTCACAATTTAATTTAAAAGTAATGATGTGAATCTCCCCAGGTCATCCTGAGCATGACATTCATTGAGTGTTTCTGAAATATCCTGAAATCAAAGGTTTTTTAAAATAGATATTTTTATATATTTGAAGATATGACACTGTCTAAACTCCAATATATCTCTCTGAAAAAAAATTTATTTTTTTTCAGATTGTACAATTTCTGTAATTATGAATAACAATGTCGTAATAACAGGTTTTAAATTGTCTGAAAATATATCATATCGTTTAATATTGATAAATATTATTTAATACCAATATTTTAACTAAAATATTTATATTTTTTAACTACAAAATACTACAAATTAATCATTTTGCCATTTAAAAATTAGCTGAAAAATAAATTTAGAACAAAAATTATTAAAAGAAAATATGTTAAATTTTTCATGACAGAATATATTTTTCATCTCATTATTTATATATAATTAAAATACATTTAAATACATTTTCAGAGAACTTGTATTTAAGTAAACATAAAATTAAATACATCAATAATATCTTCATTAAAAATAGGTAAATGTTACAAATATATCAATAACACATTCATTTTAGTAATATATATCAATAGTAATACATCACGACAAAGTTTTAATAACTGACTTCAAATATTTAAAAATGAGTTAAAATTCTAAAAGATTTTTAAAAAAAATTTCATAGGAATTATCTTCATATTTTAGTATATTTAATGTTACGTATCGTAACTTATTAATGAATTCACAGTATATGAAAAGCAAATTTCGATTTAAAAAAAAATGTAGGACAGTAATGTAAATATTTATAGAGTAATATTTTGTAATGGTTCAAATAAAAGGCAGGACAACACTTTAAAAAAAATCAAGTTAATATTAATTTTTTTGGTACAATACATACAAACAGTTCATTTTTTTTCGGTACAATACACACATGAACTCTCTGGCCAAAAGTATCTGGACACCCGGTTGTTACAGTGGTGGAAGTATAATGGTGTGGGGATGTTTCTTGCGGTTTGGCTTGGATCCGTTAGTTCTTGTGGTTGGAACCATGAACTCTGAGATGTGGACATTCTGGACAATGCTGCACTCCTAACTGTATGGTAATATTTCTGCCTATTTCTCTTCCAGCAGGATAACTACTCTATTCATACATCGAGGCTCGCACAGACGTGGTTTGACGAAATGGGTGTTTAAAAACTGGACTGACCTTCTCAGAGCCCAGGTCTAAATCCCATAGAACATCTTAGGATGAATTAGAGCCCTGATTTCGCAGTCAGCTAAGTTGACCCTCCTCACTGCAAGCAATCATTTCTGCTGTGATGAAAGCCTGCAAGTCAATTCCTATGACCACCCATCAAAAACTGATGAAAACTCTTCCCAGACGTAAAGCAAGCTGTCATTGAGGCAAAGGGTGTCCAATATCATATTAATAAATGCATTAGGACGCTTTAAGTCCATACCACTGGGTGTCCGGACACTTTTGGCCAGGTAGGGTACTGGACTATATTTAAGAAGAAGAAGAAGCGAAGAGGTGAAAAAATATTGTAATCATGTGGCATATTTTTTAACTGACCGCAACCTTGAAAATAAAAAACATTGGTAACACTCTACATTTCAAAATTAAAATTAATGATAGGAACAAGTTGATCAAAAATGAATTTAAGAAATGGTGCGATTTCGGGCATGAGATAGAATGAAAAATTTCAGAGCCTGAATTTTCTTGATATCAGAAATAGATTCCTCAATATAGAAATAAAGCTAAATAAATTTGAAAGAATATTAATAACTATAAATATTTTCACGCAACAATATAATTTGCTTTAAAACTAAACCGTACATAATCTAAAATAAAGGATTACGAAAATAAACAAATAACAAAGAAATGTAATACACGAGAATCTGTGCGCAAATATCTCGAAATAAAAAAATAAATTAAAAATAAATAAGTAAATAAATAAATAAATAAAAATTTAAAAAAATTAAATAAATAAATATTATTTACAATAAATGGACATTTAAAAGTACGTTTGATTTTGCAATAAAGAAAATGAAAAGTTTAAATAACGAAAAACAATATTTTCATTGCAATTCGACAGACGAAAAATCCCAATCTTTCAATTCTTAAAATCTTTAATTTCAAAACTCGCTCTTGTATTCGTAAACGCTGGATTATTCTGAACATACACAAAAATCAGGACGAAAAACTAAAAATTAGGGCAAATAAGGGCAAAAAATTTCGTATCAGGAATACAACGAACCCGGCTGTTTACTAAAATGATATACTTAAGAAGGGACAGAAAAGTTATAAAAAGATTTCAAATTCGTCAAAAAGAAAACAGATTGTTAATCCTAGTTAGAATGTATTTATCAAACGGACGTTTAATTTAAAGAGGAACGCGTAAGAGTATTTTAACTCAAATAAACTTAAAATAATTCTGATAAAATACGTTTAATTATAACTAATAACAAATAGCACTAAAAACTTACTTACTTTCTTTAGAGTCGTTGCAAATTTCAAGACCTTCAAAATTAACTTTAGTCACCACCACGTCACACCAGTTGTGATGGTTGAAAAAGTTCAGTGATGATTCACTTTTCTAAAGGAGTTGCGAAACGTTCATTCTGTATATTCTCAAAAAACGTCGCGTTCGAGTTGAATTAGTTTTGTTTAAATGCACATGCTTAAAATTGTATAATTTATAATGGTATTTTGAAATTAAATAACAAGTACTGTTGTTTTTCTTTGTATGATTTAAAATTTGTATTTAAATCATATAAAGAAAAGGCAGACTGTTGTACGTTTCCCAAACCATGTTTTAGAATGTACAATGCTAAAAAAAGAAAAAAAAAATAATTATAATAAACGAACTACACGTTCTAGGATTCAATCTTAATGGTTCGAGGGGGGGGATCTCAAATATCCTAACTAATTAGTGCAGATAATATTTTAAGTTACGAAATCATACACGCAAATGTACTTTCTCTGAGTTATTGTACCTTTTTTTCACCCACAAAATGTAGGAAATAGCTACAATCTGGAAAATATGGTTCCAATAGTTTGGTCAGGAGAACGCTTCAATGTTTGAACACTTTAATGTTAATTTTACTTTTTGCGTATTTTGCCATATCACAAGAAATTTAAAAGAGAATTGAAAACTTTTTAAACACAAATATCAAATTCGTTTATCTAAAGATAATTCTATGCAAAAAAATTAACTTTTAATAAATATTTATTTTTTTTTTATTTTTATTATTGCATTATTTTTTATTAGTCGAAAAAATTTTGAATTGTAAGGTAAGCATTTTTTACATCATTTTAAAGAATATAAATTTTCATGGCAAAATGAAAGAATTGTTGAATAGTTCCTGAAAAATGGAAGTTTAAAAAAAATCAGATATCAAAAATTCGATTTCTCAGGAAATATTCGACCAATTTTTCTTTAATTTTGTATTTTGCCATGTAAAGTTATATTCTTAAAAATGATGTAAAAAATTTTATATCTTACAATTCAAAATTTTCACGATCATTAATAAATGTGTAAGAGCAAAAATTAAATAACAAAAACAAAAAACTATTTAACAAAGATTGATTTATCATGGAGTTAACTTTGGACAAAAGAATTTTATAATTGACTGCAAAATTTTTGCAATTCGCTTAAAAAGTTTTCGAGATATAGCGAAATACGCAAAAAGTAAAATTTACATTAAGGGGTCCAAACTTTGGGCGGCTCTCCTGACCAAATTATTGGGACCATATTTCTCATATTGCAACTACCCCCTATATTTTTGGGGTCAGAAATCCGAATCCGTTGAAAAAAAGGTATGTTTATTCAGAGAAAGTACGTTTTTGTGTATAATTTCGAAAGTTAAAATATCATCTTCGCTAATTAATTAGTATAGTTGAGGCCATTATGGCTAATTAATTAATATAGTTGAGGCCATTATGGCTAATTAATTAGCATTATATATCCCCTCGAACCAATAAGAATGAGTCTTAGAGCATAAAGTTCCGATAATTAGATCAAAAGTTATTCTGGGTGTTCCGTTTTTTATTTTGCGCCCTGTAAAATATGCAATATATATATATATATATAGCATA